TCCATCTCTTTCTTTCTCTCTCATTCTTTTTCTTTCTTCATCTTTCTCTTTATTTCTCTCTCATTCTCCCTCTCATTCTCTCTCTTTTTCTCTTTCTTCATCTCTCTCCCATTCTCTCCCATTCTTTCTCTCATTCTTTTTTTATCTTTCTCCATCTCTTTCTTTTTCTTTCTCCATCTTTCTCTTTATTTCTCTCTCATCCTCCCATTCTCTCTCTCATTCTTTTTCTTTCTCCATTTCTCTCGTATTCTTCCTCATTCTCTTTTTCTCATTCTCCCCTCCCTTTTTCTTTCTCCATCTCTCTCTTTCTGCTCATTCTCCATCTCTCTCATTCTCTCTTATTCCTTGTCTCTCATTCTCTTTTTTCTTTCTCCATCTCTCTCATTCTTTCTCTCTCCTTCCTTTTCTTTCTCCATCTTTCTCTTTATCTGTCTCTCATGCTCCCTCTCTTTCATTCTCTTTTTTCTCCCTCTCTTGTATTCTTCCTCATTCTCTTTTTCTCATTCTCTCCCTCCCTTTTTCTCTCCATCTCTCTCTCATTCTGCTCATTCTTCATCTCTCTCTCTCATTCTCACCTCTCATTCTCTCTCTCTCTCTCTCTCTCTCTCTCTCTCTCTCTCTCTTTCTCACCCCCTCTCATTCTCTCTCCATCCAAATCACATCAAATCAAATTTATTATGATCTTAGACCAACATAGTCACCACTTTCCCTTCTTCTCATCTAAGAGTGTCTCAGCCTTGAATCATGCTTATTAGCTATGCTAGTATTAAAGGAATTTAGTATTTTCTACTTTTGCCCAAGGGCAATCTCAAGGTGACTAAAATTTGTTAAAGTTATGTCACTCTTTACCAAAGAGTGAAATCAGGAGACTAAGGTGGCTTGGAACAGAGACCAGAGAGGGATCTGGAATAAGGACAGCAAATTTCATGCCAGGGTAGTTTTTAGCCAGATGGCACACAGCACTTCAGCTCAGCAGTTGGAAAGGGCTAAAGTTGTTTTCTCAAAGGGCTTGTCAAGGTCCAATTCTCAAGTGAGTTTTACAAAAGGCAGGATGGACCTCAGCACTTTTTAGAAGATGCCAAGTCTGGAAAAAGATATCACAGAGAAGTAAAGGGGTAGACAATGACTTATTTTAATATAATCAAGACCTTTTAAGGAAAGATGCTCTCCTGGGTACCATCAGATGCTCTGGTGTAGCCTTCGACAGGACTTAAAACTTAGAGAGATGCAGCAATATTCAAAAAGTATAATTTTCCTAGGATTCCAAATTAGAACACATCTTTTTTTTTTTACACATTGGCCGCCAACATTTGGTACTGATTTACCAAGCAAGTTAAAAAGCAGATCAGTAAAATAGGGCAAATGAGTTACAATGACAAATGAACTCTGTTGTGCAGCAAAAGCCTGTTGGAAGAAATATTCCAGGAGTTCTGTCTTCTTAAGATGCAAAGTGGGGTGGGTCCTTACACTTAACAAAGGAACTTTAAAACCAAGAAGATTAGTAGCCTAAACATCCAAGCCCAAATGGACCCCACAAAAACAGGCTTCTGAAGGATTTTTGGTGCAATTAAAAAACTAGGAATAACAGAATAACAGAGTTGGAAGGGATCTTGGAGGTCTTCTAGTCCAACCCCTTGCTCAAGCAAGAAACCCTATACCATTTCAGACAAATGGTTATCCAATCTCTTTTTAAAAAAAATCTCCAATGTTGGAGCCCCCACAACTTCTGGGGGCAAGCCGTTCCACTGATTAATTGTTCTGACTGTCAGGAAGCTTCTCCTTAGTTCTAGGTTGGTTCTCTCCTTGATTGGCTTCCATCCTTTGCTTCTTGTCCTGCCTTCTGGTGCTTTGGAGAATAGGTTGACCCCCTTTTCTTTGTGACAACCCCTCAGATACTGGAACACTACTATCATGTCACCCCTAATTCTTCTCTTCATTAAACTACATACCCAATTCCTGCAACTGTTCTTATATGTTTCAGCCTCCAGCCCCCTAATCATCTTTGTTGCTCTTCTCTGCACTCTTTCTAGAGTCTCAACATCTTTTTTTTTATGTTGTGGCGACCAAAACTGGATGCAATATTCCAAGTGTGGTCTTGCCAAGGCTTTATAAGAAAATGAACTGCAGAAAAGAGAAATAATGTAGTACTTACCGCCATCACAAGCTCAAACGGGTACTTGTAGACTCTAACAGGAGATTGATATTTTTGCACCATTTTTACTTCAGAATGCCTGCAAAGAACGAGAAAAGTAATCAGTTAACTCCTCGGCTCTCAGCGTCAACCGGTCCAGCAAAAACACCTTGATTTTTATAATGGACCTTCTGTTGGAAGTTAAAAGGAAGCATAAATGCGTTTGAGGCAGGTTATCTAATATGAATGCCCAAGAAAAGAAAATGAATTAATCCCGGTGGATCAAAAGCTATAATCCTTTTTCCTTAGTTGGTTGTCACCCTGTCACTGCTCTGAGATGAATCCGTTTTAAAGGCTGCTAACTCAACCTTTACAAGTGGCAACCAATTCGTTCTCAATTCATCTGATATTTAGCAGCAGGGAGGGAACGCACTCCAAATGGAAAGATGGGCATACTTTACAAAATGTTCTAGGCACACAGTTGAGAAAATTACAGCGTTTTAACAAGTGACTCAACACCAACTGGCTACCTTACAATGAACAAGAGACGCCTGCGGGATTTGAACACCATTCTCTGCAGCTCTCAGCGCCACTGGAATTTTCCCTCTCTGCCCCCATAGCCATTGCTTTGAACCCGCACACGCAGAGTAGTTCAAGAATCCAGGCAAAGAATGAAGCTACTCTTATAGGAAGCTAATTAAATTGCTTTCTGCAAACTCAGTAGGATATGCCGCCTCCGTCTGGTATTAAATGCCCCTGAACGTTACAAGCTCAGAAGAGCTTCTCAATTGAGATTTTCTTAATGCCTGGTACAAAAAAGGGGATACAGGTAGTCCTCAAGTCATGATCAGAAATCAAGCCCAAAATTTATGTTGCTAAGTGAGACAGTTAAGTGGATTTTGCCCCACTTTACAACCTTTCTTGGCACAGTTGTTAACTGAATCATTGCAGTTCTTAAGTTGGTAACACAGTTGTTAAGTGAATCTGGCTTCCCCATTGACTTTGCTTGTCAGAAGGTCACAAAAGGGGATCACACGTGACCCCAGGAGACTGCACAACCGTTACAAACACAAACCAGTTGCCAAGTGTCTGAATTCTGATCACGTGGATCATGGGAATGCAGCAACGGGCGTAAGTGTAAAAATGATCATAAGGATTTTTTTTTTTGCAGTGCCGTTGTAACTTCGGTCACTAAATGAACTGTTGTAAATCGAGGACTACCCGTACATTTCACAAAACGCGAGATAACCTCCAAGCACGAAGTCAAACGTGGGGACCAAACAAAAAATGAATTAAAGAGAGCTGCTGTTAGAAGTGGTACATGAAGAACAAGTAAGTAACAAGTAAGACAAGTTAAGCCCACCTTTTCACCTTAAAACCACTGGATGCCCTTAAGAAAGGCAACTGCTACTCAAAAGTTCTGCAGAAAGAGAAAGGAGAATGTACCTGAAATTTAGGGTTGGCCTGCATTAAATCCATAAATTTTCAGTTCATTAAGTAGTCATCTGAATAATGCAGTCCTGGATAAAGTTATCGCTCGCTGGTGCTACATTGGTGACTCCGTCTAGAGGGGGGGAAAACAGACAGAGCAAATGTTGGTCAACTCTAGAGATAGAATCGAGATGCAGAAGCTATGTTGGGATTACATAACAGATATCTGAACCTAGAAGGAGGACAGAACAGCTGATGGTGTAAAGCCTTAATCTTGGAATGTTCAGGAGCCATGGAAGCATGAGACAGCCCAAGAATGTGAGCACTAAATCCAATTTAATGTGGGTTCTTCTTGATGATCAGCCATTTTATAAACTTATTTATTTATAAATGGCAGATTATCCAAGGCTTGGGGTGTCTTTGACATGACTCTGCTTAGGAACAACAAATAAAGAGTTGCACTGATAAAGCTTTTGGCTAGAAAGAGCATTAAATTAGGATTAAATCATTGCTATTTTTTAAAAAAACAAACAAACGAGCTGGAACGTACTTAAAGGATATTGAGGAAAGATTCTGATCTAGTATATTTAGGTATGAAAATAAAAACATTTTTTTCTTACTAAATTGAAGAGAGTTTTCATGCTGGATTTAGTAGTTAGTTCCCAGACCTATAAAGATTCAGGGTTTATGTTGGCTGGGGAATTCTGGGAGTTGAAGTCCACACGTCTTCAAGGTGCCAAGGTTGAGAAACACTGATCTATGTGTGAGTTGGGTCGAGTGGCCATATAAATTTGTTTTATAGATAAATAAATAAATCACCCCGAAGTCAAAGTCAACTCAACAGAGGCCTTCATTATTAATCTGCCCTTGTCATATTGTAGGGGATTTGAGCGGGATAAAATTTAATACATCAAAATAAAGAATCAATCTGATGGATTACATGAATAATAGAATAACAGAGCTGGAAGGGACCTTGGAGGTCTTCTAGTCCGACCCCCTGCTCAGGTAGGAAACCCTATTAACATTTCAGATAAATGGATGTCCAGTCTCTTCTTAAGAATTTCCAGTGTTGGAGCATTCACAACTTCTGGTGGCAGGTTGTTCCACTGATTAATTGTTCTAACTGTCAGGAAGTTTCTCCTTAGTTCTATGTTGCTTCTCTCCTTGACTAGTTTCCATCTATTTGTTTCCTGTCCTGTCTTCAGTGCTTTGGAGAATAGCTTGACCCCCCTCTTCTATGTGGAACACTGCTGTCATGTCCCCCCTCATCCTTCTCTTCATTAAACTAGACCTACCCAATTCCAGCAACTGTTCTTTATATGTTTTAGTCTCCAGTCCCCTGATCATCTTTGTTGCTCTTCTCTGCACTCTTTCTAGAGCAGTGGTGGCTAACCTATGGCACGGGTGCCAGAGGCGGCACTCGGAGCCCTCTCTGTGGGCACACGCACCGTCTCCCCAGCCCCGCCTCCTCCCATGGCCCCCTCCTCACCAGCAGCCCCCCCGGAGGAGAGTTGCCCCTGGGCGCGGCCCACACAAAACAGCGGAGCCAAGGACATGGTAGCTGGGCAGCGGGGACAAGACTCCGCCCTTGCATCCCACTGTGCGCAGATGATGCTGCAGGGCATGGGTGGAGGGCATGGCCGCCATGGTGCTGCTGGGCTGTCCGGGTGATCTGTGGCGGGCCGTGGAGGTGGTGAGTGGCCCAGTGGGCAGGGCGGAGCGGGGACGGGGGGCAGTTTTTGGGCACTCGGCCGCGCGGGCGGTGTTGGGAGGGACTCGTCGCTCCCATGTTACGCCGCTTTTGCGCGAGCTGCATTGGCTGCCGGTGGCCTTCCAGGTGCGCTTCAAGGTGCTGACTATCATCTTTAAAGCGCTCCATGGCATCGGACCTGGCTATCTTCGAGACCGCCTCCTGCCACAGATTACCTCCCACCGACCTGTACGCTCCCACAGAGTGGGTCTCCTCAGGGTGCCGTCAGCCAGACAGTGCCGGCTGACGACCCCAAGGGGGAGGGCCTTCTCTGTGGGAGCTCCCACCCTCTGGAACGAACTGCCCCCAGAGATCAGGGTGATCCCTGATCTCCCTTCCTTCCGCCGCGCCCTCAAGACATGGTTGTTCCAGCTTGCGGGACTGGCCTAAGGGATTTTAAAGGGGTTTTAATTACTTTTAATCAGATTAGTTTAAATATTTCTTTT